ACTGTCAAGTCAACCGTCAAGTCAACGGTCAGCTGACTGTCAACTGTCAAGTCAACGGTCAGTTGACTGTCAACTGTCAACTGTCAAGTCAACTGACAAGTCAATTGTCAACGGTCAATTGACTGTCAACAATCAAGTCAATTCTCAAAAGTTGTACGGATTTATAAATACTGTGGAACCTCCCATGGAACCTGTGGGCAATTTGAGACCCGTGTGTGACACCGGGCGATGGCACAGTGTGGGTCTCGTGCTGATTGGAGCGAAGCATGCGAGAATCGTCGTGTCCATGTTGTGTTGTGTTGTGTTGTGTGTGTTGTGTGTGAGTTGGATACTAGTGCAGAAGAAAATCTATTAGATAATTTAGATCCGTTTATCTGCACGAGAGTTTGCGTTCTCTCAACAAATGCAACCTAAGTTTACACACACTGCTGGTCGCTGGTTCGAATCCAACCTAGGGAGCTGTTCCGTGTTGAAAATCTTATACGGCCGATCGACGTTTGTACGGACTGGTACAATTCCACTTTTTTTTAGACACTGTGTCATGGCTCTACCGGTAGTGGTTAAGAGACTTGGCTTGTGTGTGACCAAGGGTGCCGGTTCGACTCTGTGCATCCACGGAGGGGCCTGAGGCCCAGATCTACGCATCTATAACTAGCGTCAAATGTCAAGTCAACTGTCAATCATCAACTATGAACTAGTATGAAGTCAATTGTCCACCGTCAAATGTCAAGTCAACTGTCTGTGCGTGCACGGAAGGGCCTGAGACCCAGATATACGCATCTACAACTACCGTCGCATGTCAAGTAAACTGTCAATCATCGACTATGAAGTCAGTTGTCCACCGTCAAATGTCAAAGTCAACTGTCAATCATCAACTATGAAGTCAATTGTCCACTGTCAAATGTCAAATGTCAACTGTCAAGCCCTCACTGTCAAATCAACCGTCAACTGTCACAAACTGTGTAGTACTTGGGCACTGGATGGTTGCTGCTGGAGACACGAGTGGGCGGCTGAAAAATGGAATAAGCCTTGCATTCTCGTGCAAGTGCTGCTGCCACTGCTGCTTCCGCGGTTGTTGTTTGCTGCTGTTTGAACCTTCTATCGTTCTTGTGCGCCGACGATGATCAATGCCAGACAATGTCAATGTCAGACACAGAAGTGAAATGCAGAGAAAAAGTTTGTTGGTGAGGCTGTCAATGACTGAAGTCCAGGGTGCCACGGATTTCGAATGGGGGAGCATTTTTTCATTCCACACTATATACGGCACACAAGCAAAGAACACGGAAGGCACGGAAGGCACGGCACGCGGATGGGCAGCAAGGCAGCAGTGCAGCGAAGCACAGGGCAATGCTATCACCACAACCACACCACACAGTGAACACGACAGCCCTGCGAAGAACTGCATGCAACACCAGCATGGCGGGCAGGACGGCAGCGGTGGAGCACAGACAAGGCAGTCTACACATCCAACACGGAGCAAAGCGGCACATCACCTACTCACATCAGGATTGAACCCCGCAGACTGTCGGTTCCCAACCCAGACGAACATCCGTCATTACCCACAGGCAACACAGACATTCCAAACCGTGTGCCCCCCCTAAGAGTGCTGTAGGCGCTCTAAACAACGGACCACCTACTATTTAGCACTTCTTGAGGGTGCTCACTCCAACAGACAGAAAGTACTCAGAAAATATTGGGGGAAGGAGAAAAAAGCAAGAAAACAGACATACATAAATAAAACTAATTGTGTGACTGCATATCCGCATGCATGCATGCATGCATGCGCAGGTGGGGTGACTGTGCGTGTGTTATGTACCCCCCTCGAAGATGCTGTGTGTGTCTGTGAATGGGTGGATTGATAAGATCTTTGGCTCTGAGCTTGTTTGGGCCTTTGGCTGCAGGATCATCGGCCCGACACAAAGTTTGAACTGGCGCATTTTCGGAAGATGCCGAAAGGGCTGCAGAAGAAGCATGGAGGGGCCAAGAAGATCGGAGATCCACACAAACGCATCGGGAAAGAGTTGGGGAATGCTGTGACGAGGACACTGGAAAAAGTTGTCGGTGCAGCGAAGGGTGGTTCCACGGGTGCAAAGGTACAGATGCTTGGTTCTGAGGGGGTAAAAANGGAATGCTGTGACGAGGACACTGGAAAAAGTTGTCGGTGCAGCGAAGGGTGGTTCCACGGGTGCAAAGGTACAGATGCTTGGTTCTGAGGGGGTAAAAACAAGGGGGGGGGGGGGGGGGGTCTTGTTGAAAAAGGAAATTCATTCATTCATTCATTCATTCAATCAAACTCTCTGAAGAATGGACCCATTCATGGGTGAATTTCTTGAACATAACAACCAAAAAATTCACCCATGAATAGGTCCATTCTTCAGAGTTTGTTTGATTGAATGAATGAATGAATTTTTTGAAGTTAACGACCAAAAAATTAAGAGAAGGGAATCTGCACAAATGGGGTGGGTTGGACTGTTCTGATGGGGTGGGTTGAACTGTTTGGTGGTCAAGTTCAAAAAAATCCATTCATTCATTCATTCAATCCACCCAGTGTGAAGGGCATCCTCCATACTGATAACACCAAACAGTTCAACCCTACCCATCGGAAAGAAAAGTTGAGGGAAGGGAATCTGCACAGATGGCTTTGGGTTAGGGGTTGGTTCAGGCTTGGGTTTAGTCTGAGTGGGGGTGGCATAGGGTGGGTTGCAGTGGGTGGAATTGAAATGGGGTTGGGTTTGCAGACAGTTTGGTTTGGGTTTGGTTTGGGTCTGGTACGGGTTTGGTTTGGGCTGGCCTTGGTTGAGCTGGGTTAGGTTTGATTTTCCGAGTGGTTGGTTCTTGTTCAGCTTGGGTTGGGTTTTGAGTTGGGGTTTGGGTTTGGGTTTGGGTTTAGGGTTTGGGTTTGATTTGGGCTGGCCGTGGTTGAGCTGGGTTAAGTTTGATTTTCCAAGTGGTTGGTTCTTGTTCAGCTTGGGTTTGGGTTTGGGTTGGGTTTGGGTTGGGTTTGGGTTTGGTTTAGGCTGGCCTTGGTTGAGCTGGGTTAGGTTTGATTTTCGAAGTGGTTGGTTCTTGTGCAGCTTGGGTTTGGTTTGGTTTAGGGTTCACTGAACTTCACTCGCATCTTGTAGTGGTGTGCACGGTGCAGCCGATGTGTCAGGTATGTGTTTTTTGGTGCTTTTATTTAGTTCCGGTCAGGTCGAGCGGCAGTGGT